TGTGTGTGTCCCACCCTGGACAAAGGGTCTCACCCCACCACTTTCACACAGGCAGGGGGGCAGTGGTCCTTTCAGCAGTCACTGCCTAACAAAGACACTGCTGATCGGATGTGATATGACTCTGGGACGCCAGAGTCACGTACCTGCCAAATGAACTTTTGAATAAGCTGTCCAATTTGATCGGTTTGTTTCCACGGTCCTTCATGTTTCCTCCCCCAAACCTCGCGGAGTTTTTTTGCAGCTTAAGCTTTGCAGCCGACTCGCAGCGCGCCGTTCTTTTTCTGCAGACTGAAACAACTTTTTTGAAACACCTACAAGTTTCCGGACCTTTCCACCTTGCCGTTCCATCGCCTTTTTCCCATTGAGACAATTGCGTTAACTGAAACTCCAAGTTCGAAGTGTGTCTGCCTGTCTGTCTCTGTCTGTCTCTGTCTTGTCTCTGTCTGTCTCTGTCTGTCTCTGTCTGTCTCTGTCTGTCTCTGTCTGTCTCTGTCTGTGTCTGTCTGTCTGTCTGTCGGTCTGTGTGTCCGTCCGTCCGTCTGTCTGTCTGTCTGTCTTCTTTCTGTCTGTCTTTCTTTCTTTCGTTCTTTCTTTCTTGCTTGTCTCTTCCAAGTATTGTTTCTTGATGTCCGTTTGTGTTTTTCCTGACCCCTGTTTTTTAGTTGATCTCTATTTGTTTTTATGGATCAATATTTGGTTTTTTTTGATCCCTCTCCCGCCTTTACCGACCCCGCCAGCTTGGTCCGGGAGCCGGGAGTGCGCCGAGTGTGTCAAACAATAGCGTTTTGCGCCTGGTTAGTACGGTCAGGGCCACATTGCAAGGGTCAATGCAACTCGCGCTGATGAAATCAAGCGCAGATTCGCATGTGTGCTTGCAAAACGGCCGGAGACCCCAAACAGTGTTAAAATAGACGTGTTAAGGAAGTACGGCAACACAAAGGTGAGTCTGCACATCACGACTCACACCGCTGGCCAGTGCGCTTCACAAAACACATAAACGAGCCGCATGTCCAAAGTTCACCACACATCATCACCATTAACTACACCGAAGTCCAAAGCACCGCCCCCGCCGCGAAATCTGCACTCCGATCCCGCGCGCCTGTCAAGAACAGTCGACTTTAGAACACCAAAGCACGAGGGATCCCTTCCGCCTGCCACGAAAAGTGACCAGCAACAGTTTGCGCGAGCCTTCGAAATCGAAATGGCCTAGCAAGATCTCCAGAGGCACGACGCGCTGTAACTACACTCCTGTGGGACGCTCTTGTAGACCACTCTTGTGGCCAAGGTTCGTGGGACACTCTTGTGGGACACTCTTGCGGGGCACTCTTGTGCGACACTCTTGTGAAAACACCTTTGTAAGACCCTCTTGTCGGACACTCTTGTGGGGCACTCCTCTGTCACGCTCTTTGGGACACTATGGGACACTCTTGCGCGGCTCTCTTGCAGGACGCTATTGTAGGCCAGGCCACTCTTGTGGCACAGTTTTGCGGGGCACTCTTGAGGGACAATCTTGTTGGGCGCTCTCCCAGGCGCTCTGTGTTGCACACTTGCGGGACACTCTTGTGGGGCAATCTCAAAACCAACGTTTCACACGAGATGTCCTCCAAAAGTCACGCGGTCTCCAAAGCGAGCGTCTCGTATGAGACTTCCTCCACAAGTGAAGCGGGATGTCTCATCAAAGCAAACACATCAAGCAGCCCTGCCAAGCAGCTTCGCAGTCCCAGCCCCTCAAAACCACAGACACCGACGCACCAATCCCAACGGCAGAGCGACATTCACCCCCACCAAATGTTGCAGATTCCCTGCGCCTGCCACGAAAATTCAACTTCGACTCTTCAACACCTCCAACTAGCACAAAACTCTGCACCTGCCACAAAAGGTGGCGACATGACATCTTCATGTCTTCGCACCACAACACGTTTGGGGTGATTTCGACACTTTCTGAGCACATCTACCAAAACTGCAGCTTTAGCCAAGACTTGTCACCAAGACACAGCTTCGAGGCGACAGCCTGAAATGCAAATCCCAATGTCAAAGCGACATGCAACAGACACTCCAACAGACCACCCTGCGAACGGCAATCCCAATGGCAAAATCATCCTCCACACTTCCACAAGATACGTTTCCACGCTATTTCACACGAATCTGACACTTCGGGCTTCCATCAAAAAACCTCCTCCACAAGCTACCCCCAATGGCAGGGCCTTATCGATCACATTCAGTTGCTTGCGAACAGTTGCCAACTGTTGCAACAATCCAATACCTCCTTGAAGAATAGCCAGCTGTCGAAGAATTGGTGTCAAAAGAAAGTATGAGCAGGTCTTTGAATTGCCAATCTTGCAGCGGAAGGCACTGTGTCCAGTGTGAACTTGTTGGCACGAACCAGTTTGGTGATATTCTCCATCACTGCCATCATCTTTTTCGCCTGTGGTTCACGTGACCCACTGTAGCGTTGAAGCCTGTGTTTCATTCATCTACCTGCACCTCTTGTCAGTGTGCCACAAGGCAACACTCCTTGGCATCTAGCCTTGTTGCTTTCTGAACAAACCGTTGCTCATATGTAAAATGAAATGCTGTTAGCCAAAACTAGAATTACTGCAAACTGCTCAATTGTCCCTGTTCGGTGGTTCTTGATTGTTAGCAGAGTTTCATCGGTTGGCAAGTCCGGTCATGCTGGTAACGCAAAGTCCGGTCATTCTGTCTCCTGTGTATGTGTACATAGGTGGATTGTTTTTCACAGTGTTAATTTTCCTTCTGAGTGTGGTAACGCAAAGTCTTTTTGTTGGAGAATCAGAGCGTCCCTGCTGGAAAACGGCCAAGCTGTACTTGTAGATCTGTGTTCCTACTTCAAGCAAACCTAAGAGCTTGATTGGCAAGTTCTGCAAATCCTCTGCAACAAAAAGACAACAATTCTTCTGTGAGCCACTTCAGGAGCACGGTTTCCTCCACTCCAAAGGCTCCCACCTAACACTCCATTGTGGCAACACAACAAACATACGCCCATTGTCCCTGGCCAAGTTGCATTGGCCGACAAGGCATGGACCCATCGCGCAATATTAAAGCCAATAAGGCTTCCACCTAAGAGGTGACTTCGAGAAGCATCACTCTACCTGACTGATTTGCTTACGTCAATTCACTGCTTCCTTACCACCCCCCTGGCCTGCCTCCACCCCAAAAGGAAACATCTTTAGCACGTTTCCCAGCTCAGTAGAAAGCTCGGGCTCTTCAAGCAAGCATTATACTTGTGATACATTTGTGAAAGGAGACGTAAGGAGATGTAAGAAATAAGTAAGGCACTACACATATTTTGAGTTCCAAATTCCAAAGCAGGCCAAGTCTCCCCATGCCGCCAGCAGAGGTGGGGCAATCTCAATAGGCTGTGCAACTCCGTGACCATAAACAACCATTTGGGCATCCTCCGGCAAGCAATATCACATTCACATGTCGATTTGTGCGAGCAAAACACTCTGCCACGGCCATTCTGATTGATCGTGCAGTTGCACACTTCCCCCGATTCAATCTGCAGAATGATAGAGTGCTCACAGTGAGATGCCAAGAATGAACAAGCAAACAAGCGGGTTCTTAAGCATCTCCTTATCACCTGGCTGCAAACAGTGAATCAGCTGCTCAGCAGAGTCTCTTGTGGCCTGGAAGACCGTGTGGGGAGCATTGAATATCAAATTATTACAATAAAATACAAATGTGTCGACTCCGTATTTCGACTCCGATCCCCAAAACCTCGTAGGCCGAATATGTATGCAGATGTATGCAGTGTCTGCACGGATTCTTGGGATGATCTCACACCAGTCTACCTTTTGCAGCTTGTATCTACATGTACGTTCCCTCATTTTGTTTCCGTTCAATCACCATACTACTACCCAACCTGCCGACTTCAACCATGCTAAAACATAGACTAGGACTAGGAAAAAAATCTTGACCCTGCACTGGCCACACCCGCTGATACCTGAAAAAGAACAGCTATAGTTTCTGTGAAGCAGTTCTAAGAAAGAAGAACCGGCAAAAGGATTGAAGGAACTGGGCGTCCCGTGCAATGCCATCCAAGGCCAGCTTGGGCAGCATGCGCTGGTTGCGGTCGCGCCAGCGCAGCAGGGCAACTGCATCCGGGAAAACCTGACTGTATCCCTACATCCCAGAACATATGCAACAGATTCTTCACAAACCACCTTCTCTGCCAGCCCACAACCTGCAGTTCTTGCTTGGCTTGTGCCTTCTGGGCGCATGTCTGGAAAGGAAATCCATATTGCAGTACATAGGTGAGTCACAAAGCCTTTGCCTGTTCAGTGTTTGATGCACTGGTAGTGCTGTCAAGTTGCTTCTTCAGCGCCCATAGTCATCAGCCACTCGCTGATGCGTTCGTATTGAGTTTGAACGTTTTTCGGCGGCTGCGAACGGGTCTCAGCATCCTGGAGAGACAAAATCGCAGCAGTGATGGTTTGCGCTGCAATAGACAGCTCATCGGAAAAACTGCTTCTCCGTGTAATGTGGCATGCGTGAGGTGTAGTCTTTGCTTCTGGCCTGCCAAGCGCTCTTGGAACCATACTCGCCCTTCACCAAGTGCTTGGGAGCTCCCGGAAGAGGAAGCAAACACAAAGGCTTCAACTTCAACAGCTTGCAGAGCTGCAACCTGAGTAGGTGATGATCTTGAGTTGGCAAGCACAAGATCAAAACCGCACTCAGCAGATCCATTTGCAACAACAGGCGGCTGCATGAAAGCATTGATGAACGCTGACTGTTTGAATACTGTGAAAGGACTTTGCTGCTCTGCATGAAACCACGGGGCAAAGAGGATCCTGCGGCACTGAGGTGGGCTGCGTTGAGCAAGACGGAGTCACCCGGCTTAAGCTTTGCACCGAAGATCTCGAGCAGCAAATAGGCACAAACCTGAGGAGGTTCTTAGTTCGTTGAGAAGAAACGATTATATACAATAAGATACAATAAGTATGCCTTGGCAACAAATGGGGTCATAGAGCCCGAGACCCACTGCACTATTACGCCTTTTTGTTCGAAAGAGTTGAGTGTGGAGTCCTGATGAAGTGAAATGAAGTGAAAAGTGAAGCCATGAAGTGAAGAATAGGTTCTTTTGTTCCGAGTCACAATCGTCGGAGCCAAACAAATCTGCTCTGAGGTCAGCTCCTCCAAGACTTCTGCTGGAATGCGGATCACGTCCTGGAGCGTTGCTCTTGCTGTTCGAATCATGGCTTGGTCAAGGCTATAGAGTCATAGAGTAATCACTTAGTAATTAATCTGTAAAGTTTAGTGACACTGTATAGTCAAACATAGTCAAACGATAATCTGTGAATTCATGTGAATTCTGCTCTCCAAACATGCGCGGTATTCCTGGCTTCAGTGGCCCTGAAACTTTTGGTAACCAGGCAGGTCACGTCGCTTTCCGAACTTCGTGATTTAAACGTTGCTTGTCAAAGCGCCCAAGATGGATAACGCTGCCCGCACAAGTCTCCTCTTCGTTGCAGTGAAGCAATGTGCGTGCTGTGCCAATCGGCCTCCTTGGGATTCACAAGCGACTCAAGAACCAGGTTCATCCAATAGGCACATCTATGTTCCGCGTTCCTCAAGCTTGGAAGCATGCGCGAACGGATTCTTGACTTGTGAGGAAATCCCTAGAAAGTACACAGTCCAAGTAGCACCCTATCACCACGACGACCATGTCTTACCTTTCGCCTGAACCTCATGGCCATCAAGATCCCATCATTTGCTGAAGCGCTGAGAAGAGAATTTTGTCGGCTTTGGCAAAATGAGAACCGTATCCTCCTGAGAATGGGCGGCTGGGTTCGTTTCATGGTCAGGTGGCGCACATCTTGTGAAGTCAACGTTCGACTGTCTTAAGAACAACATAAAATCTCTCCGAAGAAAGCTAGTAACTGTACCAGCATAGACCCCAAACATCTTCATCAGCAAGAGTTGTTGTCGTCGTGGATGGCAAGAATTTCATTATTGTAGGCTGATGCCAGCCGGGCCCCCTCCAAGCAACACACGAAAGATCACGAAAGTATAGGACCAGGAACACAACTGGTACAACCCAGGCAAACAAAAGACTAAGAGTTCCTGAAGAGCACGATAGTTTCGGACAAGCACGAAAGAGTTTCTGTCGAAAACAACACTGTATCTCGCTGAGAAAAAGCGGAGGACATGGAAGTTGCAGAATAGGTAATACGATGTCATTCCAATCTTGTCAAATCTTGTAACCATCTTTGCAGGCTTGCAGCTCATGCTCTTTCTCGGATTTGAGAATTCTGGAAGGTACTGGACAGCTAGATTCTGCCTACGAAACAGTTCACCAGGTTCTCCTCCTTGAGCTCCGCTCCACAGCGAGCCCCCTTCTGCTCAATCCTGCATGCCCACACCATCAATCTATGAAAAAGCTCATGCATCACGTTTCTCATGCAAACCCACCTGCTTAACTAAAAAACCCTTATATATCCTTATATACTTTGTTTTTCCAGTGGTAGCCACGATGGGTTGTGTGTCTGCTTGTGCGATCTCTGAGGAGGCAAACGACACACTACATCTAGGGACCCAACCTGAGAAGTGGGGAAAAACACGTCCACAGGCATACAAACACTGAAATATTTTGCTGTATATATATAATATAATCTTATGTGGACGGTACCAGTGGCAAGAAAAAATAAGTGTACACTGTGATATTTTCACAGAGGGGGGGGGGAGTGGAAAAGAAAAAAGGATTGGGTCATGTGGCCCTGCTGCCTCCATCCAAGCTGTGTTGGTGGGGAAACACCCACTGTTCTAACATGTTCTGACGTCTCTTTGTCCGCAGAAAGATGTGCCTTCCAACGCCGGTCATCCCCAAGCAAACGCCACTCTTGTTCAACTCGGCGTACACCATGGAGTCATCCACAGGGACTGCCAGCATTCTTACCAAAAGTTCCTGGGAAACTGAAGGTTTCTGAGGTGATGATGTCCCTTAACGCCGGGGCCGAAGCTCATGTTCAAACATGTCTTTCGTGTTCGCATGCTGCACTCGTAGAGTCAACAAGATTAAAGTTTCTGGGAACCCGAAGTGGGAACCCGAAAATGAATCTATATATATATAGTTACACAATACAAATATATATATATGCCCCCTTCAAGCTGAACAATACTAATTTGGCACACATGCATGTTGAATCGTTGGGTATTAGATGGTATTAGGTATTAAAACTCTTCATTATACCAGTTGGACAAGCGACGGCCACATTGGAACGGACATGTGGCCTTTTGTGGGACAATCAAGCTGTCAAATGTCCACTTGTGATTGACTTTTGCAAGCCACAATTTCCACAGCCCATTCAAGTTTTGCCCAGGTACATCGTGGTCCACGGTTTTCTTGACCGCTTTTGGCTTTGACCTATGTGACACAGAGTGTGTGACGCTCCGATCTTCAAGTTGAAGCTGTTCTGCAGCCCTGCTTTGCAATGAGTCCCGAACCCCGAACATTTTAGAAGCTGGGAACCACCGAAGATCGGAACCGCTGACCTTTTCCAGCATTTGCCACAGCTCCTTGCCGGCCGAAGCACTGCACTTGGACGGCTCCTCCCAAGGTTTGGCCATAGGCATCCGTCTTGGGCCTTGCAACGTCTCAGCTGCAGCGCAAAGCCAGACAAGAACTTTGGGCGCCCCTTTCATTGTGTATCCCAAGAGCAAAAAGTTACCCTTCGATGCTCCCCAAATGGACAGCGTCCCTTTTCTCTTGGCGCATGGAAATGCGGCTGCATCTTCTGATCTCTTTCAGGTCTGGTTGCGAGTGGCAAGCCTCCAACCTTCTTTCTTAAGCACAACTACACACAGTAAAGGGGCGCGCGACGAACAGGCCCCCTTACACCCTGGCTCCTCAGGAGGCCTTGCCTTTGCCGCGCATATACCTCCCTGCCAGAACAAGATCACTACAAGATCTTCAGCGACGGCCTCACACGCAGGCCTCCATGAACCACGCCGTGCCCGCATCCAGGTCTTCCACAGGAACCTGTGAATAATTCAACAGCTCCCGCTCGCTTTCACTTGAGGTCTGCGTTGGATAGGAAAGTCCGATGACTGGTAGGTGGGGCGGTGATGTAGTGACGGGCCAGCTCTCCGTGGACGTGGGTCCATCATCAGGGCCCATGGCTCGTGGGGCTATTGAAGGAACGACGCGCTTCAGTTCCAGACCTTTCCAGCTCTGCAGGTGCGGATATTTTCCACGATGGCTGGCTCTGCAAAAAGAAGCCAAGGCCTCAGTTGCTTCCCCTCCATCTGGATCGACACCGTAGCCTGTTCCGCCTCACAATTCATCTCCTCCAACCACCACCTCAGTGCCCAAACCCAGAGGGTCAACCATGAAAGAGTTCTGTGGTAGTCGAGGAAGCCATAGCAATGTTCAACAAGCGGAAGCGGACCCACCGAGCTTTTTCAGCACTGGTGCTTTGGCACTAGCAACTAGCACTTCTTCCGGTGGGACATTTCGGTGTCGTGAACATATACCTTGCAAACGCAGCCTTAATGCAAGGATAATATGTTTGCTATCAAGTCAAGGCTCCTTGATGGAACAAGCTTTCAAAGGGAGTGGTACTGGTATGGCATGTTCAGACCTACACACAAACCAGGTTGCAATATGTTGCAATAACACTCAGTCTTATAATCTTGCTCAGCCAACCGCAAGTGTTAATGTACATGGAACATCATGGAACATCATGGAACACTAGGTACATCTGCCACCTGGCACGTTCGGGCCGCGTACGGCATCACTAGCAAGCGGTATATTAGTATATGACTCCTATAAATTCTACACTAGTTACAATATGTTGACGAGTCATTTGGCCAAACAATACCTGACTGCCGACTGAAAAGTTGTCGGCAACCTGTCAGCTTGAAAACATGTAACATCCAAGAGTACATGCATGTTGTAACACGTTTCACGTTTACAATCTTTTCTGCAAGTGCTTGACTAGTTCGAATGGGTCAGCTCCCCTGTGTCTCCCCACGATCCCAAAACATGTTGCACCAAGCCAGAATGTCTCACTTGCGCTGTCATCCTCAGTACTGAACTGAAAGGAACCAAATGAAAAAATGAATGGCATGTCCAGGACATCATGCTGGCAATGTTCGGGGAGCCTCACTGACTGCAACTGAGGTGCATTACAAGGTGAGAGGATGAAGAAAATATTTGCAATGTTTATGGCAATCCAAGTAGATTTGTTCATCTTTCAACACCTTCTCAAAGCAAAGGTCCTTTTGCGGCACCAAGTCACTCTGCTGCATTGAAAAGGGCTGTTTTCATGAAGTCCTTGTCTGTCATGACCTCAATCCGGCAAGAACAAGAGCTGCAAGTCAAGAGTAATGAGTAAAGTGGATTAGACATGTGCATCTTAAATTTCAAGTCCTGTGAGTTTCCGACTGCCAAATTCTCGAATATACTATTATTGCAATCTATAATAATTAAATTATCAGTGCTATGTTTTAGTTGTCAAGAGCGACCGCGAAGGGCACTCTCCCAACTCAGTCCACACGCACTGAGAGAGACGCACCAGGAGGAAGCCAAGAAACCATTTCCTGCTGATCACGCTGTCGCAGCCACTCTTGGAAACCTTCCTCGTGCTCACCCTGTGGGCCCTTGGAAATACGCTCCTGGCATACTGAAGCAAAGTGAAACCCGAAACGTCCCAAAACCACAAATACAATCAAAATGACAAACTACAAAGAACTGCGACAACCTCCACCCCTGTTCAGACCAGTGCGAAGTTCGTCAGCAGGCGTTTTGCAATTACGTAATCCTTGTCTTTTTTAGTGAACTTTAAACCATCCTAAACAATTTGACAACAATTTCTGTGTGACGATGATTTGGGTCCTCCATGTTGACGACGGCTCTTTCATCTGCATCCTTTGGCCGCTGCTCTTTTGACAGGCGGCCACCACCAAAGGACTCCTCAGAGGGCTGTTCAATCTCTTCACTGTGGCTCCACCTCTCTATGTGACTCTCTGCAGTTAAGCATCTGCAAACTCTTCTTCTGCAGTCCTGGAAGGCTGGAACACAAAATGAACAGTCTGAGGTCGCATGCTTTTGCTTGTTTCCTGTTGCACGCGGTCTACATGTCGTGTATTATGATACGGTCAACATGCCAAAGCTGTGAGCATACGAGGATATTATTTGCATGCGGCCGATCAAGTTACTCCAGAGGTCATGTGCACATGTAAGGACCGACTCTTGGACTTCCGTACGCAATCTCATACAACACCTGTCTGCACACGCAAGGCTGCGATTCCTTCTTTCAAAAAGAATCATTCCTGTTCATTGTCCATCTTACCATCTTACCTGAATGGCATCAGTTTTGTTGAAAATGTATACAAAAAAACATATATTATTTTGTAATTATAGCTGTGTGTTTCTGTTTCATCAGAATGTTTTCAAAGCTGCAAAATGTCTTCTCTCAGCTGCAAGGACCTATGGTCTTGCCCCACTCCTGTCAGTTCGTCCGGTAGCATCATAGCGGCGTCGCTTGTCCTGGTCCGTCAGAACGTTGTAGGCCTGGCAACTCAAGTTGGGCTGACCATCTGCACGACAAGCTTCCATCAAGCCTTAAAACAGTTTGGAGCTTATATAGCCCCTGTTGGTGAGGCTGGTGTGTCCATATGTCTCTCCACCAACAAGGTGTTTGTATAGCCGTTGCATATTGTAGAACGAGCTAAAGGAGCTGCAGGCAATGGACTCTCAGGTCTTTCGTGGATGACGCCAACAAACGGCACCCAATACTGATACGGCTGTCTTGAAGGCAAGGAAAGTAGAATCAATAGAAGAGCACCTTGTTAATCAGCCTAGCAGGCCATCAACACAGGCCATCCAAGACAATCATCTTTTTGCGCGCGAGCCTTGGGCGCTTGGACATGGTTTTAAGTTTAGGCCCTTGTCCTATTGAAGTGAGTTGACTAGAACAAAGTGATGCAGGCGCACTGAGTTTGCATTTCTGAATACATCACTGGCCACAACAAATGAAAAGTGCAATGTAGGTGGCCATCAGGAAGCAGAATGGCAAGAAACAGAGTGCGCGAATCCACAAAGCACCCTACAACCGAATGCCGTAGCACCACATCCACACCCAGTAAACAAAGGACGTGGGGTCTGTCATACATCTTGGTGGGTTCTGGTCACGTTTCCTTCATGGGGAAGCAAGCAAAAAGAGTGAATCTGACCAGCTGCTTACAAAGCACTATCAAACACGGGTGTCTCAATTGCGCAGACAGTTGCTTGAGTTAGCGCCTTTGTCAGAATTCGATAATCCATCATTTCCAAAAAGAGATGCCTGGCCTTGTTCAAGAGCTGAAACTTTTTTGGATCGCCACCCTTGTCTGGATGCTCCGCCAAGACCTTCTTGCCTGCCAACGAATGCTACACCTGTACTTGTGTCAAATTATGTATCTGCATCAGGATTCATGTATCTTTAACCTACGGTCCGTCCGTCCTGTTTCCTTCCGTGCCGCATTTCATTGCAAAACATGTGCTAAGCGTCAAAGCACATCTTGTGAGCTGGATTTGCATCCTGCGCCGGGTTACGAAACTCTGCCCGGATCTCTTGCAGCGTGGCGCCCTGCGCAACTCCGAGAAGCTCGTAGTAGTTCGGTTCAGCCATTACCTAAAGGAGGCAAGCACTCCAGAAGCATTAGATTCATTTACATTCACCTGTCACCTTGGCTAACGTATTGACAACCCTTCAAATAGGCTTAAGCAAGGAGGGACCAGGCAGAATGCTGGTTTTCACATTCTCATTGAAGTGTGAAAAACGAACAGACTGCCCATGATCCCTTAGCAAAACCGCAAGAGTCCTGTTGCCATCATGCAAGTTCCTCTATGTCTATGTGCCTTTGAGTTGCGAGTTTGAAGTTTCGGACGGAAGATATACGGACCAGATTGAACCAAAATTGCCTGCCAGATGAAACCTTTCCCGGCATCGCACCTCTCTGAGCTGACTTGCCACATGAGTTGCTCACATGAATTCTCAAGTCGTTCGATCAATGTTGAACGAGTCATTCGCACAATTGAAGATGAGGATCTATATAGACTCTAGAAGTCAAAGTCTTGGCGCCTCAAGCAAGCACCGCCTCTCGTACTAAAGACAGTGTAATGCCGAAGCAGCGAGATACAATTGGTCGGTGCTAAATGCCTTATGGTCAAGTTAATCCCTGGCATGATTTGTGTTGTGAAGGAAGATCACACAATTATCAGCTGCTAGTGGACATTTGTATTATGTTGACAGTGGATTGAAATCTATCAACCACCTCAATGAAGCAGTGCCTTCTTATGAACTATTAAATTGCAACCCATCACTCTTGCTCATGTGTTGCCTTCTGCATTCCCGCAGGATTCCTCCCAGTGTCAACGAAAGGCATAGCTCCCACCAAACCCAAACCGTGACTGCAAGCATATGCTGAGTGGAAGTCCGATCTCGTTGAAATTGTAGACCTTGGTGTGCCGATAAACTTGGCATTTGCATCATCAAAATAATCAACTCCCCAAAACAAATGAGATCCTGCAAAAGGAGTGTCTCTGCAGCAACAAGTGCATAGGGGCTGCAGTTACTCAAAGATGGACAGCCAAAGTGTTCCATACATCTCAATACAGTCTACACTCAAAGTCGTCGCCACATTGGCGGGTTGCGTCGCTTCTAACAGTGTAGAAGAAGACGTTAGCCAGCCCCCTTTGATATCTGCATGATGCTGCTTTCGTCGAGGTCAGCGCATATAACTTTGGGGCGTATCGCTGCAGAGCACGGCCTGAAGTTGAGCTTGTGAAACGTAACAAGAAAAATTATGATTACTTCTCGCCAGACCACCGTGGCAAGCAAACTTACATACAGTGTGTATATTACATATATATGTGTATACATACATGCATGTATGCATGCATGCATGCTACATACATACATACATACATACATACATACATACATACATCACAATACATTACAATACTTTACAATACATTACAATGAATTACAATACATTACAATACCTTACAATACACAAACTATACAATACATACACTACATACACTACATACAATACATACATTACATACATTACATACACGACATACAATACATACATACATTACGCTACATACACTAAATACAAACAAAAAATACACACATACATTAACAAACATTAACATACATTACAATACGCTACAACACAGTATGCTACACATCGGACACACGCACACAGAGTCCCCGCGAAACATGCGAAACACTCAGCGATCGGAAGCGACCAGGTGGTGAGTCGTCGATTACAGTACATAACAATACATTAAACTACATACACTACACACATATACATACATACATACATACATACAAACATACCTACCGGCCCACCTACCTACCTACGTAGTTTGTACGTACACACACATACACCCACATACATACACACACATACATACAAACATTCATATAAACCAAAACATCACATCACATAACATAACATAACATAACATACACACATGCCATTACATTGCATGGCATTAATACAAGCAAACATACATACATACATACACACACGCAAACATACATGCCATAACGTAACGTTACGTTACATACATACATATATACTGTGAGCCTAAGTAGCCTTGCCCGTAAACATGTTTATGTGTGTGTTTCACTTGTGCATGAACTGTTTTTGGCTCAAGGGCCAATACTTTTGGCTCAAGTGAGTGGCTAGGAGTAGTGCAAGTAGCTTCTCAGCTTCACTAGGCCGTCTAACCGTCTCACCAGCGTGACTGACCCGCGACCTCGCTCGTGCGAGCAGAAACAGCTGCGCGGCGTTCGTACGCGTGCTCGCAATTGGGGGCTGTTCTGGGAAAGCTTCCATCTGTGTGTGGAGGCTGGTCGCGGTCGGTGGTTGCGGTTCGCACCACCGGCGCGCTGGTGAGGAGGAACCGCGGGCGGGGCTCGTGGTTCACGGCCTTGCTGCGGGATGAGCCGAGAAGTTGCAGGAGAAGAAGAGGGCGTCACTCTGCTGGAAGCGATCCGGGATGGAAGGGTGCCTACCCCGGAAGAGATGACGTTCCCTCGGTGGCAGGCTTGGCGACGTGCCGCCGGCCGTAGGCCCACAAGGAGAAGGGACGGCAGAGGCCTGCCGACAGGTGAAGAAGTAGCCCTCTGGAGGAGCGTCATGGATGAGCTCTATGGCGAGGGCAGGGCGGCGGAACTTGACGAGGGCGATGAAGAGGAGGAGGAAGAGAGGCCGTCGGCGTCGGCCTCCCCTTCTGTTGCGTCTCGTGAGGTCGCCTTGGTGAATAGCCCACGCCCGTCTTCAGTTGGCACTGGAGGAGTCAGCGTGGTGAGTCTTCGGGCCAAGTTGCAAGCGTTGTGTGACCCTTCGGCGGAGGAATTCGGGGCGTACCTGATGCGTATGGGACGAATCATCTCCGCTCTCCAAGCCTTGGACGCAGCTGTTCCGCCGGGTCTGTTAGAGACAGTGACAAGAAAGGCGGAATTCATGATCGAATTGTATGGTGAGCATGGGGGTTTGGACAAAGTGAGAGCTGTGCGTTTCTTGCGAGACAAGTTCGTAGCTTACGCGCAGGATGAGACCTTAGACCCTCGAGAGAGAGACAGTTCGATCGCCGCGATCGGTGAGTTGATTGAACAATTAGGAGGGAAACCGAGTTCGAGCCCAGGAAAGGTGTATAGTACTCCGTCTGGAGCGGAGGAAGCAACGGTTCCTGTGGCTCGCGGTCCCGTCAGCGGTCTTCGCGACGTTGGACGCGGCCAACGGCCGGCGCCCGGTCCCGCTCCTAGTTCGGGACCGGAACAAGATGGGGATTTCTCCCTCAGGGCCAAGCTGGCAGCTCTGGAGATGGAGCTGGAGGCCATGAAACGAGAGAAAGCCGAATCAGAGGCCGGTTCAGCGTTGGGATCGGAGCAAGGCTTAGCAGCCGCCTTGGCCCAACAGAAGGCAGCGCTGGAGGCACAAACAAAGGTGCTCCAGGAAGCGTTGGGACGAGGCGGAGGCAACCAGTCTGTCACCGCGGTCAAAACAGACCTTCATTGGCCGACCTTGACAGACGAGCGCTCTGACTTCAAAGATGTCACCTTGTTCTATGAGGAGTTCGAGGATGTGTGCGCCTTAGCGAACTCCTGCCGTGGAAGAAACTGCTGGCTCTCCGAGCGCGCTGCCGGGGAAGTAGGCTGAAGACCTACCAGAACCTGTACCGGTCCGCCTGGAAGTCCGGAGAGGTCCTGGAAGACCCCGAAGCAGTGTATGAGCGCATCAAATCGAAACATTTGATGTTTAGTGAGAGCCGAGAAGAGCGAGAGATCCGCGTCGATGCGGAGCATGTCGCGCTCATGAAGGGGAAGCTCACTGGTCACCAGTTCGAACCTTTGTTCGAAGCGTCGGTGGCGGAATTGGAAGCTGTGGGTCTTGGAAAGACGCAGCGAGAGCTTTTCCTCTCCTACTTGAGGAAGGTTGGGACCAGTCTCCAACGGGAGATTCGATCCGACAAGCGGCTTTGGGGGCACGAAGACAAGCTCCGAGGGCCGCAGACCTGGGAGGAGGCTCATCGGGTCGTCCTCGAGTATGAGCAGCGAGAAGCGACTAACAAGGCCACCGCCAACGCCGTGTTCACGACCACCGGCGAAGCCACGCGTCTTGCTGCGGATCTCGCAAAGAAGGAGAAAGCAGAGAAAGCGAAGCGGGACAAGGCCAACAAGGAGGCGAACAAGGGAAAGGGCAGAGGTGATCAGGTGGCGATCACGTCTGGAGATCCCCGCAAGGACAAACTCTGCTGGGATTATCGTGATCACGGGAGCTGCAGAAAGGGTCGCGATTGTCCTTTCTCGCACGACAAAGAGCTGCGTAGGAAGGAGCTTGACAAGAAAGGCAAAGGGAAAGGGTCCGACTCCTATCCGGCGAAAGGCGACGGAAAGGGAGGTAAAGGGAAAGGCAAAGGAGGGAAGGGCAAGGCTGGAGACGCTAAGAAAAAGAAGAGCGAGAAGCAGTGCCCTTACTTTGCCAAGAACGGCGCGTGCAAGAAAGGCGCTAACTGTGACATGTCGCATGTTTTGGCAACCGATGTCGGTGCTACGGGCTCGGGAGGTGGACAAGGTTCCGCTCCAAGTGGGTGGGCAGCTCCAAGCGGGAACAGCGTGCTCAATCCGTTCGCCGCGTTCTGTGTGGTGACGGGTGGTTTAGAGCAGGCTCAACCTGCGGGTGCGGACGTCGTGTTCGCGTCCGCGCCGCGGAGTTCATCCCCTGGAGTTCCAAAGAAGGGACCCTTCACCGAGTTGGACGAGCTCCCAAAAGATTGGTGGCATGTCGTGCCGAATGAGCCTGGCGGTTATCAATACCGCACCGTCGTGCAAATCCTTGATAAGAAGGTTGACACGATGTTGGACGGATGCGCTGGGTCCAATCACATCACGGAAGAGCTGGTGGTCGGGATCATCAATCGGGCTGCGGAGCTAGGCTTGCGCCCAAATGACAAGAACTTTCCGATCATTCAGTTCGAAAAATGGCTGTATCCAGAGTACGTGCATGGGATTGCGAGCGGCTCACCCGTGCCGCTCAAGGGTGGCGTGGTTCTCCGCGTCCGTCTTCTTGAAGGGGACAACCCGGATCGGGCGAAGCCGGG